GGCTAAAGTGCTACAAGAGTAAGACAAAAATTACAGTGGTTCAAACAAATCGTTTACTTGTATCTCTGCCAAAAGTCTAATTGGTCCAGAATAATCAGGTATTTCTGCTCCACAGAGAGTCAAGAGCCCTGGTACTTTTCATTGTATTACTTTTCTAGTCCCTTGGTTCTCATTCTACATGCATGGCCAAGCTAGTTTATGGACATATCTACATTCCATGCAGTATAAAAAGGGCAAGAGAGAGACAATTCACAGCAAGAAATGTTTATTTATTCATTCAAATCATGCAGAAATTCCACATGCCATTGCCCATATTCTTTTGAAAAGAACTTAGTCACATGGCCACCTACCTGTGAGGCAGGCTGAGAAATAGTCTCAAAGTGGAAAACCGTGTGCTAATCCATTACTATTGAAGAAGGAGAGAATACATCGAGAAGCCAGCTATCAGTTTGACATAGCTAATGTGTGTTAAATACCTAATAGAGTACCTGCTAATTCACAAGTACTCAGCAATCGGTGTCCGTTTTTATTGTAAAAGTAATACTATAAACAAGGGTGTATTTTGTCAAAGAAGTTAAAAGGTTTACAGAAAGCTCTTCCATGAGAGCTTTTCAGCAAAGCCAGATTTTTAAGTAGAGGTGTAAGTTTGGTACAAATATACTTTTCTTGGTTTAATATGAAGGTTCATAGCCTCAAGTTGCACTTCTTCCACTCTGCTCCATGTCTGAAAATTTTACCATTAGGGTCTAATTTTGGAGTGAATAATACATTGTTATTTTGGGCTATTACCATCTTAGGATAAATTTATTAATTTGTTATCTCCTGTCCCACTCCTTTTCCTTTTTTCCCTGTATTCTCATAAAAATCGAAGAGAATCTATATGGAGAAGCAAGAATTTCTTAGTTGGGTAGGAGAGAGGCAACTAAGGAAAAAAACACCAGACCCCTCTTATAGCTCAGAGTAGGTACTTGTTGGAACAAACAATAGGCATAAGTCAGTTTTAGCAGGAAAGAGGAAAAGTCTGGTTCAGAGCCAGGGCTCGGCCCTGCAAGGGTATGTCTCAGTGAAACCATAAGAGCATTAGGTGCTCCTGAGGGGAGAGAAGGCAACAAAAGGGGGCACTAGAGGTGCTGATATCAAAATGGCAATTTAACTTTTTTCCCCAGGGCCAGCTGTGCTTCAGAGGCTTTGCTGCAGCTGCATTTTGCTAGAGACAAATAAGGTATATGAAAGCTCTCAGGGCTTTAAGCTTTTAAAAAGCTCAGTGCAATTTCTAGCCTTTGCAGTTATTTAATCCAGGCAAGCAAAAGGATTATAAATTCAACAACTTTGTGATTGAGATTACTGCACTCAGAAGTTAACTCTTGCCTTCACAGGAAACTGAGAAGCGAACATTAAACATTTAAACTCTCTCCAGATTAAATCTGCCTCCTGGGTGGCCTAGAATGAAACATGGCTCCTGGTTATCTTTCACCTTTTCGTGGTTGGCATCACAGCCAGATTAAGTGGAGGCCAGGTAGGACACTACCAAGACTTACAACTGGTAAAGTGTGATAAAGCATCACTAATAGTATAACAAAATGGGTGAACATGATTTGGTTTTTAACCAGAATGTCTTTTGGGAAGACTGTTCTGTTACCAGAAGGAATAATTTGAATATATTATATAGGGCTGATGTTAAACCAGCCAAAGAGTTTGCTTAGAACTCTTTCTGTTTTCATTTAAACCAATACTTCAAAAGCTGAGAATAACACAACAGCTTATAGGTGTCAAGTTGTGCTCGCATTCCAAAATGAAGTGCCAAACAAGCATGCAAAGAAAGGTGACCAAATTTGCGGACTTAGGCAAACACCCATTTGAGGATATAAACAGTTTGGGTTGAAGACGTCGGGGAGGGGAGTGCTTTTTGGAGAAAGTTGTTGGAGTGCCATAGCTATCCCATCCTTGGCAATGTTGGAGTAGAAGGGTGCGCTAACTTCTACCTCAAGGATGAAGAGCTTCAGGAAAACTACCTAGAAAGTTTAACTTATGTCCCTGAAGTTTGTAGGAAACGAGACTGGAAGAGTATAAAGATGAGAGACTGTGGCTGGCTTCTGCTGTCAGTGGTTAAGCAATTTCTAAGTAGCAGCAGGTGGGTAAGAGTCAGAACGATCACTATAGAAACTGCTGGTTGGCTTCCACACTTCCAGAGATTCAGCTGGTAAAGTGACAGTGAACTCAAGTGGATTCAGGTCCATTCTTGCTACACAGCAAAAGCAAGGTCACCATTGTATTGGTTTCTCATATCTCCCTCCCACAGGACAGGGATGGAGGCGTGGGGAGTGGCCAGTCTGTGGCTGAGGAGCCATCTCTATAAATTATAGCCAAACAATTGTGTAGACTTACACAGAAGCCTACATCTGTCCGCTAAGAAGGGAGGGGGAAAGTGGAAAGCCCTGTGCTCAGCTGAAATTAGGGAGATGAATGAGAAAAGGTCTCGCAGCAGTCTCTCACAAGATAAGAAGGCAGATGAGAAACTGTGTCGGGCAGCTCTTCACACGGCTGCTTATCTCCCTTTGTACCGGAAGGAATCACAAGGCATTCAGCCAAGACTTGGCTTAGACTGTGGTCAAGAATTGCCTATGTGGAGAACAAAGCTGTCAGGGTGCTGTGGTGAAGCTGCCTCCACAGTGTGCCTAGGTATGACTGATAAAAGAAGGCTGCACTGGGAAGTGGCTGCTTTGGACTTCGCTTGAACAGACAAATTGGAGGGTGAATTGGATCCCCAGTGGTGGGGATAAACTACTTGCCAATAACCAGAGGCTGGGGCGAGAGTCATGAGATGCAAGTGGAAAGAGATACATCTCCAAATTATATGAAATGCAGTTGCATATTCCCAGTTGTAAATCTCAGAAAAACATTCAGAAGCACCAAACAGGGAAAAAGTCAGCCTTGAAAATGCACTAAACCCAGAAATTGCCAATGCCTTAGCACAACAGCACGACAAATAAGGCCTCTTCTGCTGCCTGGCTTTTCTGTCTCATCCGCTGACCCCAGAGAGGTAGAAGTCAGAGCCCGTCTAATGGAAACGGAGTACTCTGAAATAAGGACACGTCAGAGAATAAAGAAGAGGCTGATCAAGCATCCTTTTCACCACTCTACACTTTCAGCTGTAAGTAGCCCAATAAAGAGGAAGAGAAAAGCTTTAAATGTGATTGACATTTACAGTTTGACTACTTACTGGAATGGACATTTTAATTACCGATATTGTGCTTTAACTAGAAGTTCCTTTCTGGAGGACTTTTCAAACATCATCTACCAAGATTTCATCCATTGGCAGGGAATGAACTAGTCCACAGAAAGGATTTAAGGAACAGTGAGGAAAAGAGTAACATTGTTTTTTCCTTGTTTCCTATTGAGTTCTACTTTTTTAACACCAAGGTTATATCCAGGAGTATGCCTGAGAAACAGTAGATGGTGAGAAATTGACTTTAAAGCAAAACAAGAGTCCTTTTGCTGAGCGGGGTTTGCAAGTTTGGGCTGGAGTTAAATTGCCTAGAGAAATCGAGCAAGGACTGAAGCTGCCCCCAGCCCCTCCTTTTATGTCACCCCACCACCTTTAAATAAATATTAAAATAATATTTAAGAATTATAGATTTGGAGTGCAAATTATTAGTCTGTTTGCTGCAGCACATAAATTGGTCCGACTTTGGACTAAGATGGTTTTCTTCCTGGCTAGACTAAGAATCAGGTTGGAGGCAACTCTAAGTGGAATAGATTTGGAGTAAGAAGAAGTGGAGCATTTCCTTTTCCAAACCTTGCTGTCTCTATGAACAAGTCACTTGGGCTTTCAAAAACTCATTAGAGAATAGTACCGTCTTCCTGGGTAGGCCACAGTTCCAGTACAGAGGGGATTTATGTTTTATTATTGGGACACATAGTGTCTGGCAAGTTTCAATGTTTTTGAGAATATGAAACAACTTTTACATATAACTGCAGGTTTCATATGAAGATACGGTTAAATGCTTTCAAAAGGTAGATTTTTTTAAACAAAGAGGGCAATTTGTTATAATCAGGCACCATTCAATGGTTCTTAGCTCTGGAAAACTTGTGCCTAGGGAAACACTGGTTGGTGTTTCACGACTGAATGAGAACTAGAGCATTAGGCCACTAAAAATAGTACTTAAGAGTTTCAAAAGAGCTTGTCATTGTCCTAGTGACCAATCAGAATGTTTTTGTCTTCATTCCATGTGGCAATATAAGTATTTAACCTTTGGTTTCTAAATGCCAAGATTAATACATCTCTAATCAAATAGAAGCTAAATGTTGGCGTTCAAATTTCATAGGATGATAGAACTAAAAAGAGCTTTGAGTCATTTATTTGGTTCATCCAAGTGAATGTCCCTAGACCAAGAATTTTCATTTATTTTTGTGACATCCTACATTTAATTGAGAGAATCACAAGGGGACTTTAAAATACTCAAAATTAATTAATTGGCTTTAAAGTGATGTGCCTTAACATACTCTTATCAGGATGGTTGGGAATAATAAAACAAAGCAAACAGTGAAAGTATTTACAGTACAAAGGTTGAGTCTTAATGTCTGATACTTGTCGAAGTAGAAGGTTGTCCACCTATAGTTTCCAGAAATGGAGAACCAGGAGGTTCCCTCAGCAACTCATTTCAGTAATTCATTCCATACATCCTGGAAAAGCAGATAATCCCCATAGTACACACTTTGTCTAGTGTCCCACATATTGCCTGAGGGAAAACATATTTTCTGTGTGAATATAGTGGAGATAAACAGAATTTTGTTTAAGGTAGAATGACTCAGGGCAATTACCACACCCTTATAACTGGGGATAAAAGGACATGATGGTTGATGATGGCTGGACAGGGGAAGGTAGAAGGGTCCCCATCAACTTGTGCTCTCAAAGACAGAGTTTTGTACACATAAAATTCATTCCAAACTTATACACTATTACCAAAGCAAAATTCAAGGGACTCCCTTCCTTTCCTTACCTTTAAAGTCAATTATTGCCCACATTTTTCTTCTAAGGCTGTCCTTGATGTTAACTTAAACATGATTGTTCCTGTGCAAACACTGTTTTCAGGCTCTGAGTACCTGGATAATTGGTTCCGGGTCTGAACCCACTTGGGTGACTCTGGACCTCTTCCCACCTGGAAACAATCACAAAGATAAGAACAAAGAGTCATCCAAACCTCTCCTGAGATATAGGCTGTTTCTCTTTGTTCCTGGAAGGCATCTGTAACCCGTTTATCACTTATCACCACATTCACAGTCTCGGCTCAGCCCCAACTGTATTTCTCCAGGAATCCTTTGGGTTTCCCTTCTGAATCCTCACTGGATGTTTATACTCTGCTCCCTGTACCAAATCTTCACAGAACTGTCTTTCTGACTTCCACAAGGAATCCAAACCCACCACTTATATCATGATTTATGGAGTTTCCCTGAAGATTTGTGGGATCTGAGGAAAGGATCACACTATGCCACACAGCATTTTGGTGCTGTCCTACTGCACACCCTCTCCCCATTTTGCTTCTTCTTTCTCAGATTTCCTCTAACATCATCTGCTGTCTTCCCCAAGCCTGTGTTCCTGCCGTGTGACACACTCTGTCCTGCATGGAGCCCACAGCTTGTGGAGTCCTTCAGATCTGTTTTGCCTTCTTTTTCTCCATATCCTTTTCTTTCATTAACAGTGTCTCGATTTTCCTTCTCACATCTATCGCATTCCATTTCGGGCAAACTGTCAATCAAGGTGATGTGGAGGCCCCATTAGAAGGGCATCAGGACCTGAGCTGGGCCAATCTCTCCCAGTATTTGAATCAACTCGAGCTCATTCATCCAGGTGGTTGAACCCTCAAGAAATTGCCTATGAAGTGCCCTCATTCCTTTCTTTTCTAAAGCCATTCCTTCAATTCTCTCAGCTACACCATTTATATTTCTTTTCTACTTAAGTCAGTAGAGCTCCAACCAAAGGACTCTGAGTAATACCAAAATATTGTCTCAACTGCCTTGGAAAGCATTTTTTGTTTAATTCTGGCAAATACTTTTTTCATCTTATATAAATATCAGGAAAATTCTCACCATTCTTAAACCTAGCAGGTTTTTTTAAAAAGAGGGGGAAGAGGAAGAGAAAAAATCCTTCAGCTATCATTAACAGGCTTTCCAGGGGAGAGGGGAAGGAGCCTAAACTTGATACACTAACTACAGGCAAATATACTTAAAGCTGCCCACAAAGGCTTTAGTATTTTTCCAAGGTGGGCTGAGATGAGCAACTGAGATGTGTTCTAAAGGCATAATTGACTTTCCCTGGAAGTTAAACAGTGGCTTAAAAGAAATCGTTCCTTGTTATTTGTGAGGACTCAGACTGTGGGCACTCCTTCTGCTGTTATAGTCTTCCTTTTTGTTATGTGATTATGAGAGCAACTTAATTGTACCTTCTTCTCCACTAGGAAATGCATTGTTAATATGTTAACTATTTTATTGTCCTTGATTTCCCTATATGCAACTAGATCTCTGAATGGAAATTATCAATCAGGTTAACTGAAAATCAAATTCAAAGAAAATATTATGTAACTTTCATCAAATGATCATCCAGTTTTTTTCAGGTGTTCATCTGGTCTTGCATCAAAATGCACAGAGAAATTTAACAGTATTCCAAAATTTTGGTATGGTAGCTATCTTCAAGGAAATATTTTCAAGGAAAAGAGATGTTTAAGAGACAAATATTTATCTATGAGATGTGGTTAGGTGGGTTTGTTATAAAGAGTGGGTTTGCTATAAATGGTAGTTACCAGATAGAGCAGGTTATTTGTGTTTTCACATAAGGTGAACAGCATACTAGGAGGAAAAATTATTATATAAAGTATGACGTACTCAAGAAAAATGGAAATTAGTTTGAATTACACTTCAAATTGATCTAATATTGTGATTGATTATCTTGACTGTAACAGAACTAAGTCTTGCAGACTTAAGGCATTCTAAAGTGGTCTATAGGTTGCCATGGAAACTCCTGAAAATATATTCCTACACTGTTTGGGGGCATTTCCACTGTACTGATTGACCAGTGCCTGATAGAGAAAGACTATTCAGTCGGTGGCTTACTAGAGTAGTTTTGGTTTGGATCTCAGAGGAAAAGATAATTATTAGTTAGAATGTATATGTTACTTTGCATTTTTCAAACTATTTTAGACACTCGAATTTGGCGTTCTTTACAAAATTTGTGAAGTGGGTCAGTATTATGATTGCCCTCTTTATTTAGCTGAGAAAACAAAGAATTGTGGGGCTAGAAAGCATTTTCAGGGCATGGTCCTTTGGCAGTACTGTAAGCTATCAGGAATAAACTCTCCTGCATTGTATTCTGAGAAATATCTAGTTTATTTACAATGTCCTAATTGAAAAGAATTTTCGTTCACTATTCAGTCTACATCTTTCCAAGTAAAATTTAAGCACATTTATTAACAACAATAATAATAAATAATATGATTTCCATGTATTAAACACTGGGAATGTGCTAACTATGCTGCTAAATTCCTGTTATACATTATACTACTTTTTCTCTCACACAGTTCTGTGAAGTAGGGGTTGTTATTGCCATTGACAGAAGAAGAATCTGCCTCAGAGGGGTTAATTAATTTGCTCAAGTTCACTATTAAGAGATAGAAGCAGAATTTGAAACCAGATCTGACTCCTAAGCCTGAATGCTTAATCATTTTGCCATACATTCTGGTGCCATTTTATATTTGCATCCAACATGCATTTGTTTTGCACAGCACTGTGATAAATATGTATATTTATATGTTACATATATGTAACATGCTTTTGAAGCAGTAGTGGACTAAAAAAACAAAGTGCTGGAGTTAGAGAACCTTATGGTCAAACCCAGACAGTAACCAGTTCATAGCAACTGTTTCCTTTGATTATTGGAAGGATTCCATAGAGATTAAATGACAATATCAGACTCAGAGTTTGGGAGAGAATTCGCCCTAATTCTCACATAGAAGAGTTGTTCTCACCTAATCTACTCCTCTCACTTCCAGTAGTTAGCCTATCCAAAATGCAAACAAACATTGATTCATTAATTCAATGAACACTTACTGAATTCTTACTGCCAGATGTTGTCCTAGGTGCTGCTGATATAATAGTCAACAATATAGACAAAAACTAGCTTCTCTAGTGTCATTTTCCTGCTAAAACCCTTCAAGGATCCCACATTACTTACAGGGTAATATTCACATCCTTTATCAGTGAACAATTAGTCATTCTTGAGTAAGCCTCTGTAATGGTGAGATTTACCATATAGTCTGGAGAAGGTGCAGGCAATAGGGGGCCAGGAATGATGGGAGAAGGTGGATAGGACATGAGAGCTGTAAAGAAGGCAGGAGTTTCAAAGGCTATGTTGGATTGTGGATTGGACCTCAGGAGGCGTGAATTCTGGCTCCAGCTGTGAGCTCCGTGTAAGTTTTCCCTTTCTCTGCCCTGGTTCCACACGCCTTCTAAGCTCCATGAGGAGAGGATTGCAGTACCCTCATCTGTGTATCCCAATTCCTGACCCAGGCCTGGCATGTAGTAAATAAATGTTCCCACACAACAGTCCTAAGTGTCTGTGGAAATACAAGTTTCTAAATCCAGCTTGGATCAGATTCTTCTTTCCTGAAAATGAGGTCATATAGATCCTTGCAACACAAAGTGTGGTCCGCAGATGCGCAGCATTGTTCACACCTGGGAACGTGTTCAAAATGAAGAATCTCCAGCCTGACCCAAAATAACTGACTCTAAGTCTGCATTTTAACAAGATCCTCAGGTGATTTATCTGGACATTCATGTTTGAGATGCACTGGACCAGATCATTTTAATAACCGATTAATAATTTTAAAGACAAAATATAAGCAACACTATAACATTACACTCCAGTAGTGCTCACTGTTTTCATAAATATCCGGAGACAAATACAAGGCCAGAGCCTCAGTAAGCTGCAACAGGAGAGACTCTAAAATCCTGTAAACCTCCTCGGAAATATTGGCACCCAAGAGAAGGACTTTATAGCTCCTGACAAAGTTAGGAGGCTGTAGACAGAACATATTGCATTTGTCAACCTGGAAACATTAAAGAAAGTTTGTTCTTTTGTGCAATCATTTAGCAATAAGGTAAGGCTTGCCAGCTAGATTTATTGGGATATTGGATTTTATGTTTCTTGTATCGAATAATATTTTTTACATTGTTTATGTCTAAATAAATCTGTCTTCTATTTTACATTGCCCTGTTGTATTGCTGCTTACAGATAAAGGGTTCAGGTAGCATAATTTGCTCTGCCCTTGGGACATGCTGCCATACATTAAAACCCAGTCACATGGTGACTACAGCAGAGAATTTCAATGCGCTCTGAAAAGTTGCACAGAAATAGTGAAGGAATAATGCCCAATGAGAAGATGTGGCTTCTGATCTTGATCTCTCTAGTCTGTGCCTGGCAGACACTGATTATCAGCAGAATTACCACCACACCACCTAGCCAGTCCCTAAACCCAAAGATGATAATTTCAAAGTAAAAATTATGCCCTAAAAACCCCACATACAATCTAGTCCTTTCAATGGCTGTTTTGTAACACCCATGGCTTTATGCCCATCAATACCTACATTATTTTAATTATTTTTATGGTATATATATATATATATATTGATTTGAACTAGTAAGCAATAGCAAAAAGAAAAAATATGATGAGTTTAAAAATAACAAAATTTTGCAAAGGAAATAATGATTACTATGAGACAAATTAATGTAGACCCTTCTTTGTGCTTATAAAAGGACTAGAAATGTGCTCTCATTTTGAACAGACAGGATAAAATATGTCCATTTGTGTTATAGTCTTTATCTGTTAGTCTGCTTTATGATTTGATTTCGTGTTTTCATTGTTCCAAAGCAATTTTCCAGATTGAATCTTAAAAGGATTATAAACCACAAAAGTCATTTTAAATTCTACATGGAGTTAATACACCTACTGCAATTCTGTGCATTTGTCTTTTAAATTTTATAAAGAAATTTGTTGACACTTTCCCTTTTGTTTCTTACAATATATTTTGTGCAAAAATTTGTCAAACACTGATGCCTGTATTATTGATATGTTTTAAAATATGCCAGCCAATCAGCATAATTTCAAAT